AGATTTGCGGAACCGGAAATGGAGACCCACGACACCGGGCCGCAGAGCTCACTCCCAGCGCAGCAACTGTCACAGCCTGATGCAGTACCGCACATGTACCATCAGTCACCACCCGGCGTGGGCACGTATATGTATGCGGATCCTATGCCAGGTCGTATATACCCAGACCAGGCCTACATGGCGCCCTCAATGCATCCTAATGCCCGGTTTGATAGAACGACACAGATGCAGTTTATGGACTTTACCATCAACAACATCCATGAGTGGAATTGGGCGGATATTGGGACAATGATTGGTCCTGAGGGCGTTCCGAATATGCCTGGAAACCCTCATGTGCATGGACCGCAACCGACGGGGCCGAATTAATCGCCGCCGACGAGGACGATGTAATCTTGAGAATATACCCCAAATGCGAGAGCGAGTTTAACTAAACCTTACTGGATGTCCTGACCAATGTGATAACTGGCTTCGAATGTTTACTCTTCCGTATCTCAACCAAGATTACAACCACAGGGTCTACCATGAGTTGAGAACGATAGAAGGTGCTTCTTGTTTCGTCCGCAACTACTCGCAAGTCTAACCTGGTCAGTCGAAGAATGAGGACTGGTAGGGCTGAAAGCACGTGGGCTTGGCAGGTCCGCACCAATCACATCTCTTGCTCGTACCCGCACTCGCACTCGTATCGCACCGTACTCGGACTTTGACGTTGCCAAGAAGAAATGTAACAACGCGTACGAGACGGCGGAGCATACAGACGTACGCGTTGATGCAGGTACTAACAAGCAGAAAATGTATATTATGCTTGACGTACTTCATTGTACCATCTCACAACAACGAAGATTAAGTCCGACCACTACGATCAAAACTACGACCGAACTACGATACGACTTGTACGAGACATTGACGAAATCAACACCATCTTCTTCACAACCTCAACATGGGAGTGTTCAATCTCCTTGATAAGCCCGTCTTTAGCAGCCGCTTCAAGTTCCCTATTCATATCGCTCAAGTCGTTCTCGTTATTCTCGCCATTGCCCTTACGCTTCCTCGTCTGTTCATTACCAATGTTCCGCGCACACGAGCAAGCACATATGCGTTGGGCATGGTATGTTGAAACTTCCTAATCTGGCTATACCACTGAGTATCAATCTGGTTACTAATTCTTGTACCTAGGGTGCCAAATCCCTCATCCTACTCATATACCTCATACTTTCGGAGCATAGTCCACGTTTCCAACGTTGGCACAGTTACAAAGCGCATGCCATAATCAGCTGTATTGAGGTTGTGTTCTGGAGTGTAGTTGCCGGTTTGATGTTTCAAACCAATCTCAGCTATTGCAAAGGGCCAACATGCGGTCTTAGTTGGGTCGTAGTCGTCATCGCCATCGTCATCGTGTGAGTTGGGTAACTTTCTCATCGACTCTTAAACTAACAAATAACAGCAATTCTGAGATCATCGTCGCAGGAATCTGCATTAAAGAATTCCGCGAGTGGAAAAGTGCAGGAAAGCCAAAGTCAACGACGCAGCAGCACACCCGTCGCCCCGCATTCGACGAAGAGGAAGTCATTCAAAGCAGAGCCGAGCGCCCGAAAGAAGCGCCAGTCCAAGCCGCCGAACAAGCGTACTTCCAGTCTGAGCGACGGCACTCCCAACGCAGCCACTCCAGACATCACGGCGAGTCACTATGGGAGACTCAGCGTACTCCACGATCCCCCCGAAAGGAGCGTCAACACCATTCTCGTCGCTCCGAAGATCGTACACGTGAGCGGGAAGAGCGTTCCATGCATGAGATGGAGGAGCCACGTTATGCTGAACATCAGCAATATACGCCGAGAGAGCCGCGGTACTAGTCAGATTACGCCTTCAAAGGATGGACTACATGCAAAAGTTATGAGCATATTCTCTTTCATCTTCTATCGAATTGGTTGTAGACATCAATGCGGACTGGTGTAAAGGAGTAGAGGGATTTGTAACGGGGCATCTCGCTGCGCGCGCCTCTTGGACTTTAGCTACAACAGGGTATCGAATATGTACTTTTCGAACAGAATATCGCGGTGACTCATTTGGTAAAAAGAAGAGGATCATATTCGCAATCGAACTCTGAACAAACAAAAAACGCCGAACACTCCACTAGCATTGTGACAAAGTGTCACCGGGGACTACAAGTAGACCAAGCCGCAAAGTGCGGTCTGCTAATGTGTGTTCGACGGGGAATACACCACTATAATCAATATATACAGTAGCTGAGTTCGAGATCGAGACGCGCTACGCATATCAGCTCAGTACAAGTGAAAGAAGTGCTCTCCCCCGCTTTTTGATCAAGTCTCACAGCCTTTTTAGAGGCGTTGTAGGGTATGGACAGCGTGTAAGCTAGTGTACATGCGTAGAAAGGTCCGTAACGAGACTATCATATACACATCTTGATGTCGATCATCCTTAGATGTAAGGGCTAGAGTAGCGGTGCCTAGGATAACGCGACGCAAGATGCTTGAGATATCCATGGGAGCTCTGAGTGACATGTCACTCTGGGCGAATCTTCTCAATCTCAAGTAGGGTATACAACGAATACATGGACTCCGCTGATGTCAACTAGCTACACAGAAAAGATACATCTTCGTTAAACCTACTGACAGTTGAAACATTGAAGAAGCACAGCAATACAGTCGCACCTCTCGCTACGTGATGATGAACCATCTATTCACCCAAAGTGTCATGTAGTCGCCCGGTCGAAGTCTTCCTCATCACACCTTTCTTTCTACAGGGTCCATATACAAGTCTAACGCATGCACGATATCTACTCCTAGTCTAAATGACCAAACACAAACTTAGCAACAGTGATTCAACAAACTTTGCCCGATCCGATGTTCCTGGCGTCCTCCTAGGCTCGTTGACAAGTGTGGCTGCATCGGTGTCTGCGTCTATTTCTTGCGACGTGCGCATAGTTTGACCGGCCGATGAGGCTGTGCCTTCCTCTTGCGATTTTGAAGAGTTAGTTGTGTAATGCATGTAGCATGGGGCAGAGCACAGGTCCTCCTACCGGATTTTGGAGTTGGAGGGGGCGGCATCATGGCGAGACAGCACTAGATGTGGTTTATCGACAGAACGGAAATGTTGTAACTGATGTCGGTCACCTAGAACATGACAGCGAAACATGTTAATTATCTCGGTGACGAAAGTCGCGAGGCTGAGGATGTTCGGCCCTCTAATCCGGCTGTGAATGCGAGATACAAGTCGAAATGACCGTAGCCAAGCAAGAGGTGCACGCTCAGCGCGCGGCTTGAGAGGAGTCAGTTGTTAGCAGGTTAAGACATGACTTGGCTAATAATTCGAAACATAGCGAATGATTTCATTTCCATGTTGCTTTGTAAACGAATCGCTGGCTCTGATCATTCCACGTGTACTGCTTTCGCTCTCATTTACCGTACAAACTGCGCTCTCCTACAATGCGCGACGATGGCCTGAATTGAATGCATGTGACGCTGTTCGATACAAGCGTCAACTCTGGCTTGGTATACGTCCCGCGGTATTGCGATGTCTGCATCCAGTCCACCGCAGTCGAACGACCTGGAGCGCGCCAAGGATACTCCCACTGTTCAGTCGTGGCAGGCAGTTGGCCGAAAGCGACTGAATGCGTGTTGTCATGTACCGGTGGTTGAATGCATATGCTCATGCTCTTACCTTCACATTTCCTCAATCATCCAATAAGTCCAGCCAAAGCACTTTCTGCTCTTTGAAATACTCATCGTTGATAACACCGCGGAATGCGACCTCGGCCTCCAGCAGGTCTGCTTCAACGTTTCTCTCTCCCATATCTTCTTCCTCGTCACTGCCACAGCTATCGTTGCGCTTCTCTAATGCGTCAAGCATAGCCTCGCCCTTGGTCTCAAGCTCTTCAATGCGCTCATTAGCCAACGCCAGTGCTTCTCTCAGCGTAGACTCGGTGTCTGCAGCGGCCTGGGTAGTGGCCGCGGTTCCCTGAGCTGTGTACCTATGCAGCGTGGCCTTCAAGCTCAGATTGCGCTGCTGCACCTTGTCCTTGGTACGGTCGCTCTTCTTAAGACGGGCGATGGTACGCATAGCATCGTTGAGCTGATCAACAAGCTTGTCGTGCGCGGAGACGAGGACCTGGAAGCGCGAGTAGAGTTGCCCGCCAGCTGTCCTATCCTCTTCATGGCGGAAGCGGAGATTGGCGTTTTCCTGCTCGATCTCAGAGATAACGCAAGTTTGGTGCTCAAGGTCCTGATGGGCGGCCTTGAGGTCCTGTTCTTGCTCCAGAGCGAGCAAGCGCCAGTTGTCCCGGTCACGGCGGAGGCGAGCTGTAAATGATTGCGCCCAGGATAGTTCACTTAGTAGACCCTGCTTCGATCTCGACGTTGTCTGTGGGGACTTCGGCGATGGAAGGGCGTGTTGGTGGTTGGCGCTAAAGCTTCCCTCACTTGGTACGCGAAATTCCAGCGTCAATGGGCTCGTCGGCGCAGAGGCATGTCGTGTGAATGATCTGAAGAGTCGCGACTTTGGGTTTGCGGTGACAATATGCGCTTCAGATACAGCGGCTGGCATTTTTGGTGTTGTAGCTGCTGGTGTTCGGGTACCAAGGGATGTGACGAGGGTTGCATATAATGGTGGTACTACAAAGAAGGTGAGACAAAGAGATGGTCTCAGGTGTGGACGTTAATATTTACAGCCAGCAAACAGGTGTGCTGTTTGAATGTGGGGTTCAACCCTGGGTGACTGTCGCTGCAGGTCGCGTGTTGTACGACGCGTGTCCACGTGCGAGCGCGACCGGATTGCCCGCTGCTTCCGCATTCGCCTCAGGCATGTACAGTACGAAGCTACGGATGCGCAAATGAGAATGGAAAGACCACCTGAGGAACGTATGAAGACGTGGTGGAAATATGATGGAATTCAAATTACACGAATCATAGAAGACACGATGACGAAGATGCTGTTACTTACCAGGCGCTCTGATGCGACAAATACAAGAGAATGTATGCAACATCTCACAGAGCTACGGCTGCCGCCAAAATGCCCACAGCACCCATCATGGCCAAGGCAGTCGGGAGAGATCCAGCAGGTGCTAAACCAGTGCTCGGCGTCGAGGCGGCACCGGATTGAGACCTCGAAGGCGATGTAGCTCCTGTTCCTGATGCCGGGCCAGTAGGTGATGGCCCTCCAGTCGCTGAGGCTGATCCTGGGGAAGACGCACCAGTTGCGGTGACTAGTGCAACCACCTGATACGCCTCCATCTCCTGTATCTCGCTCTGCGACAAGACGCTCGTGGACGCGACTTGGTCGGCCTGGTCCGGGACGTATCCGCTCTGGGTGACGTCGCAGGTCAAGTCTGCCGTTGACATTGCGCCCTGCCAGCTGCAGGCCATATCCATTGTCCACGCGCCTGGAGTCGGGTCCGTGAGGTGCATCTCGTACGTCTCGGGGCCTTGTAGGATGGTATAAGGCTCGCAGAAGGAGTAGTCCTCGTTGGAATCATCGTCCTGGCGGCGCATGCGAGGCGCGGGTGTAGGTGAGGGAGTCTCGGAGGGGTCGTCTGTGATCGGTACTGGCAGTGTTAGTGCAATCTCTCGCGACGGGTGCATGACGTACGAAGATCAGACGGCACGACTGACACGCCGACTCCATCTGACGGGCAGCTGTTCTCATAGGTTGTTGCGCTCGCATCCGAACCGAGCACGGTGAGGGTGCTGTCGAATTGGAAGAAGTTGAGGATCGTCGCGGACTCTTGCGCAATGGCAGCGCCGGCGAGGAGCGGGATGTAGCTGGAGGGACGCATGCTGGATGACTGGCGACGGCTGATGGAGAGGCATCGCTGTCACAGCGGATCGGGCCTGAAGTTATACATTTCCTACCTGTCGAAATCAATACTTCTGGTGTTACCTACGCCACCATGCCTTGCAATGTTGGTCGACGAATCGCGGCCACGGTGTGCCTGGCGTTGGTGATGATGCATCAGCAGATACGAGAGGCAGCGAGACGCGCTACCTGGATTTGTTGCTTCCTAAGCTCAGGGGCGCGCGTGGCTGAACTGTGATCGACTCATAGTGACAAAGATGTTACGGTAGCATGGTGGCACTCTATCCGAGGAAAGACCAGACCCAGCCCTGGAGGTGTCTACATCGCTCCAGAATGTTGTTTGCTTCTTTTCCAGCCAATGTAGACTCTAGCTTAATCGATTGTCTTCTTTTTGGCATGAGGCGGTGAGAATAAAGGAGTGTGGTGATGAAGGGCGCTTGGGGTCGTGGCACGCATCAATAACCAACTTCAACAAGCCGCACTCGTGTCACAACAGTTGCAAAAAAAGAAGCCGATGCCCGTGATGGGTGTCTGAACTGTTGGGCAAAAAGAGAGATCACTTTTGCACAAACGGCAAAAAGAAAGATATCTTTTGCAAATGGCAAAAAGAGACATTCCGACACCGGGAATCGAACCCGGGCCTTGCCGGCACTGCGCTGCAACAGCGAGCTGACTCTGCGATGAGAGCGGCAAATCCTAGCCACTAGACCATATCGGAAATTGATGGAAGGATTGTGTGATTAGACATATATAACGTTAGCAAAATTTTTCCGACGAAAATTGAGGGGTCTGAAGTTTGCCGGACACGAAAAGTTTGCAGACAGCAGGGTGGACCACGAACGGGCTAGGACAGCAAGTCATCCATCGTTGAGTCATTATCGTATGGGCTAGGGAAAAACTGGTCATCATTCATTACGTCGTTATCAAGCAGCAGCGCAGTGGACAGCCCAAAAACGCCCAAGTAGGCTGAAGGTCGACAGCGTCGACGACAACCCCATAGCAACCCGAACCCACACATCGACAATTTGAACACGAAAGAAACATCCAATCATCCCGTCACCGGCGTATCCGCTCTCTCCGGCAATGACTGCGCGATGGGCGCCAACCCTAGCAGCTTCATGCCATTCTCCAGCACGACTGCAGTCGCCTCATAGAGCGCCGCCAGACCGGGGGTGACCTTCGCACACTGATCGCCATCAGCCTCCCCCGGAAGACATTCAGCAAGCTGCTCAGTTACACTAGCGAGATAAGTAACAACACCAGCCGGCTCGAGCGAATGGTAGGTCGCATTCACGACCTCCGGGTACTGAGCCAGAATGCGCAGAAGATTGGCCGCGTCTTCTTCATCCAACACTTCGTAATCTTCATCCGAGAGTTCAGCTGCAGCGTCAGCGCCTTTGAGCAATCGGCGGAGCTTAGCCAGCCAGTACTGCAGATCCGGGCCCGACCCAGGCCTGAAGGAAGCCATCGCACCAGTATCGAAGGCATGTGTTGTGGTCAGGCGAGTCGAGAGCTCTTGCACGAGCAGTGACGATGTCGCTAGTCCTTCCTTGACATTGTTCAACCCGCCTACCACTTCGATCTTCTCGGCACCGGCCTCCGATAACGCAGTCATCGCTTCCTCACATGCGTCCAATATACCCTGCGGCTTGTAACCTCTACCAAGCGTCGCCGCCATCTTCGACACCTCGCTAAATTTGACGTGTTGAAGCTTGTCGGCGAGCTCCTTCATGTCCATCGCCTCCAACACCTTGATGAGCTGAGTGAAGTGGACGCTATTGTCGCTGGCAACCACATACACCATCTTGTCGAACGAGTACTTCCTCGAACGCTCCAACACCGCGGCGAGGTCTCGGAGAAGGTACGTGCTGCTACCGGAGCGGTCGCGAATGATGGCCGTACCAGCCTTCGCACCTATGTTCTGCATGTGAATGATCTGAGATCCCCCGCTCTCCTCCGAGATACCCTTCTCCTTCAGCATCTGTTCGACTTCCACCATAGTCTCAGGCTTGATCTGCGACTCTCCAGAGTACTCATCGAAGCGCACACCAAGGCGCTCGTAGAACTTGGTGTAGTTGTCGATATTGGCATCTCGCACGCGCTTCCAAAAGGCCACAAGCTCCTCATCACCCTCTTCCAGCTTCTTGAAAGCCTCATTGCGTTCTGCAAAGATGCCCTTGCTTTCAATCTCGGCCTGCGCTTCGCCTTTGTCTTCACCTTCCTTCGCCACTTCGTCACGCGCCGCCTTGCTCGCCGCTTGTTCTGGCTTGAAGTCTTCTTCGATCTTATGGTAGACCTCCAGAAGGTGTCCGACGGGGTCGGCCTCATACGCTTCTTCCGAGCCGTACTTCGACCACCCAACGTACAACAACGCGATCGGCTTGCCCCAGTCGCCGAGGTAGTTGATGCGTGTTACATCCCATCCCATGGCCTCGTATAGTCGTCCGATGCATGCGCCGACGATCGTACTCCGCAGGTGCTTTCCTTGAAACTCGCTGGTGATGTTTGGAGAGGAAAGTTCGACGATGAGCTTCTTAGGCGCGTCGTCTGTGTCGGCGGGATGTGTGGCAGAGCCGTAGGAACTCTTTCGGATCGAGGTGTACGGCAAAAGGAGGCGTGGCACGGACGTCACCTTGAGGAAGACGCGAAAGTGAACGCCATCTACAAAGGGTAGGATAAAGAGTGGGTCATCTTCGGGAAACTACGATGCTTAGTAGTTTGATCACATCTATGTGCTGCAGTTCAAGCGCATCACACAGCGTACCTTTTGCATCAGCTCAGCAGCCACTTCACCAGCCTTCATCCCTGGCCGCAGCTTCGGAAGGACCACGGCAAGATCCCCACTGGAAATGTCGTTCGGCCACAGTATACATTTGAATGTATGCTCAAAGTCGCAGCCCAATATACCCACTAAAATTGCTGCCAGATGTATGCGACACAAGTCCAGTGGGTTGGCTTCTGCTCTCGCCGCTGGCACGTCTGGCAGGGGACTGTCCAGGCTCAAAGAAGCCACGCATGCCTCGAGCGCTTCCATGGTTTTTCCTCTGGTAATTTCAACTGGTACGATTCTTGCTTGCCCGCCGTGTCGCAAGGCTGTGAGTGTTTCTCGTTCCAATTTCGCGATCTAGCAGCCGTCCAATGGGCCCAGTCTTTCCAGGTGCGTATCAAGACGAGCGTCGAATCCGCGATATCCTCACGGTCTTTAAAAACTGTCCAAACCCGCTATAGCGATCGAGTGTATATATGCATTCTTGCTAGCCTCGTCGCATGGAGACGGCAGTCTTAGTGACGAGGCAGTGTTGTCGTGGTTCGTCGCAATTGGCCTACAGCTCCTGCAGGCGCGCTTATGGCGATCAATGAGAACTCCAGATCTATGCCGGCTGTAGGCAACAAACTGACTCCCCGCACTTTGATGGGTAATACGGTAATCGCCATAACGCTTTGCTGACTGCCTGCTGGACGTAGCTTTTAAAAGCCTGTGTGTTCTTACGATACGCATGCCCTGCTTCATGCGAGGTTTCGTCTCGTAGCTTCTCTGCACAGCGATACAACTCTGAGCCTCATCTGCGGAGTTATGGTATATTCGCAATCAAAAAGCGCAATCGTTCAGACCAGCTTCAACAGAGAGCAATGTGCGGACAAGGCTACTAAGGCAGCAGCACGAGGCCAATCCTCATGCTAGAATCTTGGAGCAATAACAGTCATCACAGGTAAGTCCGTCTTTATAATGTTTGCAACACGAAGTTAGTTGTTGCCGCATCTTTCAATTTGAGCCAAACGTGCTGCGATACTGGTCTTTTTATTGGGCCAAGCTAAAACCCTCGCCACAGACAGGCCACCGTACCTCATCTCATCATAATAGAACAAAAGGTATGATGAGTCTCTACGCCCCACTTCTCACGCAGTAGTTTCAAATGAGGCTCAACGTGTTAGACAGCTGGCGGTACAAGCTCAATATTATCTGGTAGTGTTATTAAGCATTCGCTTCCATGGGTTGTCCCCCGTCACTGACCTGTATCACCATACCCATTAAGGGCATTCTTTCTACCCCTCTTTCCAAGTCTCCACACAAGGCGCTGTAAACGACCAAGATTGCTCAGCAGGTAGGTTAATAGAAAAAGCGCAAGACACATCACTGTGAACGAGATGGCAAACGTCCTAGGTGTACGATCGAAGTGGAAAATATCTCGATCAGCCCCGAAGTATTGCAGAACAAGAACGAGAGGTGTGGTGATGCCAAACAGCTTGCCATGTTAGCAGGAATAATCTCTTTTCGGAAGATGTAGATCATCCACTAACCAGAACATTCACACGTGTACCTCGACTTGTCTCCCTGGCAGCTTCGGTACTCGTTCGGTTGAGTATGTGTATTTTGTGACTAATTTCGTTGGTCCGGCGATTCAGCTCATGCGCATGCTCGGCGCGAATTTGACTCTGACAGCTGAGGCGATTACTGACACGCTCTTGATACATCGACAACTAGATCTTCCGTTAGAAGATGAGTATGTATTCCAAGATTGGACGTACTATCACTTGCGGCTCATGGCAAACTCCATCAAGAAGCTTCAGTTTGTACTGCAGATCACCTAGTGTCTTGAATGCGGCCTTCAAATTGTGAAAGGCAGAAAGGGAATCGGGATCTCTTAAGTCCGAGAAGTAGCGGTAATCTCCACTGGGACCAGTGAATGTCGTCCACACGCGAAGAGTTTTTTGGAGAGTCCTACGCAGTTCACCCAGAATTTGTATCGTCGTAGCCGTCTCCTCGAACAGCTGGTCAATAATGGCCTGGTCGTCAGTCTTGTGGTTGGTGGTGAGTTCACGGGCTCGCTTGTCTTTCTAGATCGCGTCAGCCATAATCGATCTTTTTGCATCTCATGTACACACCCAGGCCTGAACGCCTTTGTCGACAAATTGAACAACCTCAACCCACTCCTCCAAGATTCGAAGAACACGAAGCTCAACTATGCGCAACCAGTAGCGTCGCGGGTCCCAGATAGGCGCGTTTGCGTCCTGAACCAAACATCTTCGGCCATTGCCATCGACAGCAAAGTAATCCTCTTCTATTTCTTCGGGTTCATCTTCTTGTCCGTCGTCGTCTTCGTCGTCTTCGTCTCCATCCTTCCTCAACTTTGGATCTAAAGGCGCGTTGATAAAGGCCCAGCCAACCCATTTAAAGTTGTCCCAGCCACAAATTGCGATCGAGGTATGGGCTTTACGGATGACAAATTGTCGTGCACTTGGCTGACGACGATTATGAGGGCGCTGTTGCTGAAGGTAAGAAACATCTAGCATATCGGTATTGTGTAACGAATCAGCGGCGCTCGGCGTTGCAAGTGTCTCTCGCAAAATTTGGAAGGGGAGATGGAACTCCAAATTAAACACATTTGGTGACTACGCGGCGTCATTTACATCAGTGAGGCTCCTATGCATGCTGACAATCACTTACTGTCATGTGTACCCTTACTGATGTCTCGAATTCAACATGTTTGGCAATGGCGTCGCACAGAGGATGCATTTGATGCTGATGTACTGTGTCCACGAGTGCAAGTATATATTCTGCGCTCAGCTGATTGATGTATCTTGAGTTATGTCAGCATCCAGAATACTTGCGTACAGAAGCGGAGATAGATTTTGGAATAATGCAGCCTTTCGATCATTGAGTCGTCAGCTTTGCTACGAACATAGTCGTAACGAAATGCCGAACAGCCTTCGTGTAGTGCAAGACCGACGATAGCCCAGATTCAACCCGGTCATCAAGATACATCGTGAGTAGGGAACGGGAAATGGACCAACACAACGTACATCAATCGCCGATCTGCATCAGGTGGACCGCCACCATCGCTGGTCGAACCACCAAAACGCTGTTTCTGTTAGCCAGGCTATCATGGGGTTGGAATAGTACCCACGTCTGCAAGTAGCAATTCCCTCAATACCTCTGGTGTAAGCCATTCTTGTTCATAGTCGCGACGCTTTCCTGAACCATGTGCACGGTCATCCAATCTTGCTCGCGCCGGCTGTAGCCTACTTGGAGAGCTCGAGTGCAAGGACCCTTGCAAAGCGTCTTTCTTCCAGGACTGAATCGCACTCTCGACATCCTGGAGAAAGTATTCCAGCGTCCCTCGCTTAAACTCCGGAATGAGGGCTATGTTCAAAACAAGTGGGATGTCCACCAGTGGTCGGTGCGTCGAGAAGATGGGGTTCCATAGTTTTGTGGGAACTCTTCTCCGTGGGGAACTTCTTAGCCTTTGCATCTAGTCCTTGGCGTACTAGAGGGTGGTATAGCCTAAAGGGCGATGGGCGCGATATGGAGATGATAATTGGCCAGGCTCGGAGGAAGGCCGGGTCATACTCCCGATACCTATACGGAGTGTTCCCCTGTGACTTCACGAAATGTTCGACAATGCGATCCACGCTCTATCCAATGCGGATAGATGTCAGTGAGAACTTGGTGAGGTCAGATAGTGGGAATAGGGAGGGAAAATGCAATCTCAATGCAATAACTGGGTTCCCCAGAGCCTCTTTAACCAAACTTACACATCTTGCGAAGCCCAACGCATCACTCACTCGGCCGACAGCTTCGTCTATCGCACATTGTTTCCTATTCGTAAGACTGGTCTAACGGCCGTCGCGCGACACGTTTTCAACTCTGAATCGTCACTGAAAAGGTCACGGAGGCAATTGAGGGCGTTGTATCATCCAGGCCTTGCATAAATGAGGCTATGTTGGACCTGCCTTATCGGGCAGGCGGGTTGTCTCGATCATGGAGGATTGCCCAGTACACACTGAATCACAGTGTCGATTCGTTAATATGGTCAATTGGCTGCGAAAAGGTCGACTTACCATAGATCTCAAGACTTTCGAAGCCAGGAAGGTATTTAACAGCAGGCAGATGTCTGCCTGCATCGGGCCTCCATGCATGGATACGTGCCAGCGCACTGGAAGCGCCACACAGGAATAATCTCGAGCGGCCAATGTGAATGGAATTTGTGAGCTTGGTAGGAAGTGGGCGATGCGCAGATCAACCGAGGTCTAATGCTTTTGGGGAACCTCATTGGGTTCTGACCTGGATGCATGACGGAAGGTTGAAGAAGCCCGGAGGGACCTTTTCCGCGATCTCAGCTAAGAGATTGCCTCGCCGATGAGCCTCACACTGGTTGCACGACGTTAGCGTATAGGGCGGAGTTGTGGTCGCGCCCATTGTTTGATAGCCACGTCGAAGTGTCTTCTCATTTATTCCACGTGCGCAACGAATACGTCCCGGTTGCTCTTCACCGGTATTAGTCTGTGAGGGGGCTGACAAGCGTCTGCGGTTTCATGGCTGTCTGCTGGACTGAAGGCTCTGGTATGGATGTGAACAAGGAGGACCTGGAGAATGGTGGCGGTCATGGGATCAGACATCACTTGATCGGTGAACGTAGAAAGCGCAATACCTACCAAATACACCCTAGTTTCTCTTGAAAGACCTTGTGGTGATGCAAAACCCGAGGCGGACTTGATCCAAACTAAAAGTAGAGAAGACATGTACGTTTCCGCAGGCTCGATGTTATCATTTGGTACCATCACTAAGGGGATCAACTCCATCTCAGAGTTTCCGGCATCCCTCCCACGATTGGCCTCTTACGTCTACGTCCCATCTAACCGAGCTAACGTAACATCGTGTGCTGACTGATAAGCTCGCTGTTGGCAAGACGGTTTATCTTCAGTGGGTCACGATGCTACAGCGTTCGGTAATGGCCAAAGTGAGCGAGGGAAGGATGAAAGGGCCTTGTCGCT